CCTCGGAAACCCTGTACAGGAACCGACTCGACGGCACTTAACAACTACATATATATATATACAGAGACACAGACAGAGAGACAGAGAAAGAAAGAAAGTCAGGGAAAGACCCAGAGGGAACAGGGGAGGAAGAGGTAACTTGAGCCTGCACTGTGATGGCGCAGTGAGTAAGTACTTGGCTGACCCCCCAGCAGCTCTGTGGGAGGAAGATGTGACAATCAGCTCTTGTAAACCCTGTGTGGAAGTTCTACGCTGTCCTATAGGCCACTGTGAAGTGTGATTGACTCAATAGCAACAGATGCGTTTTTCAAATAGAGAAATATTTTCTCTCTACCCACCCACCTACCTCTCTTTCTCTCTCTACCTACCTACTTACCTACCTACCTATTTAATTCTGAGTTTTTCAGAATTTTCTGATAGCAAGAAGAATACTAATTACTATGCAGACCATGCTAGGAATGTTGATAGAGCATACATCCATGGCATTTTGGGTGACCTCTGGGCTGCCATGATAAAACGAACAGTCAATGGCTAGGGTCATCAGGGTGAGAAGTTCAGACTTCTTTCATGTTAACTCCTCAGAGAGCCCTGCCATGCATCCAGCAGCCACAAAACCTCAGAAAAATGATCTTGGCATCTTAAAAGAAAAATTTAGGAGGGTCTGTGTTTAAGGAGACAACAGAAAGGGTGTCATGCTGGCTAGTGGAAGACCATCAGTCTGCAAAGCAGACTAATATGTATGCTATCTTATATTGTTTACAAAACTCCTTGTGGTTTCAGCCATCCCAGAGTGATTTCTTGAGACATAGGAAGCTAGAAGAAAAATGACTAACACAAGAGCAGACAAAAGCAATTGTTAACAGTCCCTCCTTTCTGTAATTTAAGGAGAAAATAAAAAGCTTTTTTTTTTTAAGTCTGTCTGATTTTATCAAAATGAAAGTGAGAGAAAGGTATATAAACCCTAATTTATCATTTTACTTATCATTTATATAGGTCTGAACTTATCAGTTACTTACTGTCCAGTTAAAAACACTTACAATCTGAAACAGAGTCATTTATGGACACGGTGGCTTTGCTAGGCTCTCCAAGGGCAGCATTCATAGGCATACGAAGCACCAGTTCAAATTTCTCAATTCCCTCCAGCATTGGTTGTCCACGATCATCCAGAATGGTAACACGGACAGTCTGCATATTCACTCCTGGTGCAAAATCTAAATGATGACTGATTCCCACATAGTCTGTTCCAGCTATGATAACAAAAAGACAGTTATTCAGTTGTTAACTAAAATTTTAAAATACTAGAGACATGTTATATTCTTTAAATATTGATACAATTGTAGATGCAATTATATAGATTTAAATAATTCACACAAAGAGATACACATATATCACACAAAGAGATAAACAAGGGAGCTTCAAAAAGTTCATAAAAAATGGAATAGAAAGAAAACGGAAA